CATTGAGTGCCTGCCCCCTGGTGGTCAGTGCACATCATAGTGATTGGTTGATTTGCATATTAGCCAAAATATATAGGATAGTCAAACAAGACTCACACTGCTCTAGTTCTGTTTAAGGAGCCCTGGCCAGTGTGGCTCAGCAGTTAAAGTGTTGGCCTGCAGGTCAGGTATTGGTTTCTCGGTCATGTGTTGGATTCCCAGTCAAGGTTGGACTGCTTGCGAGAGGCAGCTCTCTCTCCCTTCCACTCTCTCTAAAAATCAATGGGGAAAAACATATATAGTTGAAGGAGGATGGACAACAACAAAAATTCTGTTCAAGATAGGTCCACTGATCACACATGGCAATGTCATGGATATTATGGCAATGTCAAATTGCTATAAAAATTTCTAAATGGTTATTTTTAATTTCTGTAATATTATCAATAAATGATAGGCCAACTGGTACCTGTCCAAAGGCCACATTTTGAATCATACTACATTAGAATATTCAGTTTCTCAATGATTCAGGATGACATGACCTAGTGTTTAACATCATTATTGAGAAATATGCATTTCTTGACTCATGTATTTTTTTCTCTCTTTGATATAATTTGTGCTTTCTTGTCTCTCCTCTAATTCTCTTTTCGTTGCTGGTCACTTATATTGGGGTTATCGGTATTGTGAGTACATTCATGTTTTGTTCCCTTTGTGTCATGTGTTGTCGAGGTGAATTTTATCCTGTTTGGCCAATGTGGTAGAGAGCAAGCCACATAACCAGACACCCAGAGAGGAGACCCTATCCACGAACGGGTCAATAACACTCCAGACCCAACTATAGAGGCAGGAAGAAGGCAGCAGTGAGGGAGAGAACATGAGTGAGGGAGGGAACAAAAGAGGAGTGTGTGTACATGTGGGGTGTGTGAGTGTGTGTGAGTGTGTGTGTGTGTGTGTGTGTGTGTGTGTGTGTGTGTGTGTCACCGTTAGATCCTGCAGAAACTTTGGGGGCAGTCTGACCAGGCTCGCCTAACCAGGCAGCCTCTGCTACCATTGCAAACAGTCCCAGAGCAGCTGGCTCTTCTGCAGAGGCCATGCCTCTTTGAAGAGGGGAGCTGCTGTGACTGGAAGCCCAGCCTCACCTCTACCCAGGGTGCCCTCAGATAACACTCAGGATTCTACAGCCACCCCCACCAGGGACCTGTTGCCTCGGCTGCGGTCCCATGGTCACCAAGACTACAGCCACCCTGGGCGCAGGCTCCTGTAAGTTCTGAAGCGCGCTCCCCTCTGACCAGCTACTTGTGACAAATAACATTTGTTCCTGCCATGTATGATGCAAGATGTTCTAAAGGGGGAACTGTGAAGGAGGAGGAGGAGGAGAAGGAGGAGGACAAGAAGGAGAAGGAGGAAAAGAAAAAAAGAGGAGGAGGGAGGAGAAGAATGGTAGAGATGGGAATTTGGAGATTTAAGGGCAAAATATTTTAATAGGTAATACAATAAATACAAACGGAAAAGCCCTGTAGAAAATGAATGCATATAATCATCTGTTTGATCTACTTATGTTTGGCAAATCAAGTATCATCACTATTTTAATTGCTAAACAAAAAATTCCATTATCACTTATACTATATCTTGTATTCCTTTACAATTTTTGAAGAGGTGGATACATACACAAGAAATATGTAATTAAATGTGGAAATAACCTAAAAGGAAATAGATAAGTTCTAATTATCTATATATATAAAAGCCTAAGTGATCATTAGGACCGAACGACCAGAACGACCGGAACAACCAGCCACTATGACATGCACTGGCCACCAGGGGCAGACACTCAATGCAGGAGCTGCCCCCTAGTGGTAAGTGCACTCCCACAGCCAACCTCCTGCGGCTCCTCCCCTCCCCCTCTGTGTGGCCGGCCCCTCCCACCAAGGGCCCCTCTCCCATCCCACCCAGCCAACCTCCCGCAGTCCCTCACCTCAGCTGGCCAACTTCCCACATCCCTCCCTCCAATTAAAATTGTCTTTTTCTTAATGATGCTCATCCTCATTACTTCTAATATCTTATTAATCCCTTTCACTCTGAATGATATAGGTAGTATACATTTGTTTTCTTTTAATATATTTTATTGATTTTTTAAAGAGAGGAAGGGAAAAGGATAGAGAGTTAGAAACATCGATCAGCTGCCTCCTGCACACCCCCTACTGGGGATGTGCCCGTAACCAAGGTACATGCCCTTGACCAGAATCGAACCTGGGACCCTTCAGTCCGTAGGCCGACACTCTATCCACTGAGCCAAACCGGTCAGGGCAGTATAAATTTCTTTAAATAGTAATTTCATGATACTGATCGAATTTGTGACAATTTTCCTCATCAATATGTATTATCTTAATCTTATTTTGAATCTCTGGGTGTTTTTTTTTAGCTTCTCTTTTATCCCATTAAATGCCTAATGCATGTGAAAAAACATTCCTCTCCAATTTTTATCCACAGAAATAAATATTAATCTATGGAATCTAAAAAAATAAGAGTGCTATTGCAAAATGGGACCTAATAGACTATAATCAGAAATAATGTCATAAAGGGAAGCAAAGAAAATTCAGGCTGACTGTCAGGAAACTTTTAATGGCTTTGTAAAAATGATTGTGAGTCTGGTCAGGGACATCCTGTGGGGACAGCACACAAATAGAAATAATTCCCAGCAGAGTCATTTATTTTACTGTTGAATAGTTTTTTAGCAAACAAAGGAGTGGAAATGGCTCCTGGTTCTGCAGTTGTTCGGCTGACAGTTACCTGTCAGGCCAGTCACACTTTCTGTGGTTTTGGCAGGTTTCATTGGTGGCTTTTACACAACAGCAAAGGATTTGTAAACAATTTCCCTATATGCTGAGCCTTTCATCAACTTTAGGTCCCACTTTCTTCTCACCTCTTCGTGCCTCCCAGTACATACATATTTTGTATAGTGCTTGATTATCACAAAATAGATTCTTTTTTTAAAATATATATATATTGTATTGATTTTTTACAGAGAGGAAGGGAGAGGAATAGAGAGTTAGAAACATCGATGAGAGAGAAACATCAATCAGCTGCCTCTTGCACACCCCCTACCCCGGGGATATGCCCACAACCAAGGTACATGCCCTTGACCGGAATCAAACCTGGGACCCTTCAGTCCGCAGGCCGACACGCTATCCACTGAGCCAAACCGGTCAGGGAAAATAGGTTCTTATCAATGAATTTTTAACTTATTTCTGAGGGAAAATGTTAGCCATACAAAGTAACGTTTCAGTAAATTGATGAATGAAAGTACAATACTTTCCTTTATTTCTGGGCATGTGCTGAGGGCAGATTTCTGCCTTCAGGTTTGTGCTGCCTGCTTAAGGGTACCATGGACATTACTCAGGATGACCCTGCAGGTAGTCATCATAGAATGATCATGGTACAGTCCATGAAATGAAGTAATGTGATACCTCCAAAACGACCAGAAACATACATTAGGCGTTTAGTTTTCAGGTTGGTTGTTTTGTTAGTTAGTTTGTTTTGATTTTTCGTGTGTGTGTTTAATTGATTTCATAGAAGAGGGAGAGGGAAAGAGAGATAGAAACATTAATGATGAGAGAGAATCATTGGTCGGCAGCCTCCTGCACACCCCACACTGGGGATGGAGCCTGCAACCCTGGCATGTGCCCTGACCCTGAACAAAACTGTGATCTCCTGGTTCATAGGTCAATGCTCAACCACCGAACCACCACGGCAGCTGAGCTGGTTTTTTGTTTTGTTTTGTTTTGTTTTGTTTTGTATCTTATGTCCTGGGAGCCTGGTACAGCCTGTGCTGTTTAGACATTACCACTGCATGTTCCTGGTGTTCTGGCTGAACCTGACAGCCTCTGGACTGGTTCTTAGAAATTAGTAGACACTCCAGTTCCTCCCTGAATGAGACCTGCAGACCACATACTGAGCTTCTCATTCCGGAGTGCTGTGGTTTTTACACTATTTTCCAAATGCTATGCAAACAGGTAGAGCACCTATTATGGCTGTGCTTCCTGAGAAGGGTCACATAGTTGAAGTGTTCATTTTAATCGTTAAATGCTAAATATGGCTTATCTGCTGTAAGTATTACCTTTAAATTAAAAGATACATTTAGTGGTGTAGCTAATGAAAACTGTTGGTTTTGTTTCATAATTATTAAATACAAATGGTGAATGGAAATTCTGATGAAAAATTTATGTTTTTATTTGAATTAAAGAAGAGAATATTCTAATTTAGCATAAGAGTTACTAGCTGGAGTACACAGATCGGTAAATTAGATATCAGTAATCAATGATCAGACCTATATCATAAAACAAGTACATAAATCAGTATTGATCATTATATCATTATATAAATAAGTATTTATCATTACACATACTATATGTACTGGTCAACAAATCTCTTTTTAGTGGTTTTTCTAACTATAAGTAGAATTATAAGAGAATTATAGAACCAATAGACCACTGAATAAAAGAAAAATCTGAAAAAAAATAATGAGCTAAGTGACATTTCTTGTACTTGTGATGTGTCTGCCAGTGTGGATCACAAAGGCTGACATATCCTTTCAACATTCATTTATTGACAAAGTGCAGGAAAGGAAGAAATAGAAGGTATTTTTTTGACTCATTTATGGCCATCCAGCCCAAACTATGCAATATTCAACCAGAAGGCAGTTCCAGGGTAAAAAAATAGAATAAAAAGGATTAAGCAATTAAAGGGCATTGTCAAATTTGAGCTGGATGCCAAATTGAAAAATTAAGTCACCATTCTGAATAACTACCTCACATTCACATTTATTTCTATAAATACTTAATTAACTTAAATATGTACTATATATAGTTGTGATTAATTTATCTCTTTCTATATTTATATTTTTTAATTTTATATTTAGCTTTCCATGCTGAAAGTAGTAAAGCAGCAATTAATTTTATACGGAGTATGACCATGCCCCTGTTATATTTTAAGATACTAATTTTATTTTTCTATATGACAAATTATAGGATGAAGTCTGTCCCAAAGCTGAAGGAGATGAAGTTCAGAAATGTGTGTGGGCCTCGGCGGTTAATGTCAAAGACAAGTTCATTTATGTTGCACAGCCAACCTTGGACAGAGTCCTAATTGTTGATGTGCAGTCCCAAAAGGTTGTGCAGGTAAGAATGACGCCTACTTTTTGAAAGTGACTAAATGTATTTACTTTAGCTTAATAGCCTTTGCCAGGTAACATGTGCTTTGACATTTGATTGTCAGTTATAACTAGTTTCATTACTTGGATAAATGGAAAATATATGCCTTTTCTGCTCGCACACCTCTCTTTTTGCTCCTTGAGCCTAATACTTTAAAGAAATAATTTAAATATCTTTTTGTTTTTTAAAATGTGATGCTGTGAATACATAATAATACTAAAATGACTAGTTTCACAAAAATCATCCCCAGAGTTGCTTATTCTGCCTAGACCAAGGAGAGTCCCAGTCAGAGGTCAATGAAGGCATTACTACTTATCACCCCAGAAGCAGTATTATATCATTCTCATTTGATTCTTAACAAAGGCTGAGATAATGAAAGGCTTTACTAGATAATAAACTTAATAGGTATTAATTACTAAGTAGTAAAAAGAAAAGTACTAATATGTACATAGGTCAATGATACAGACAAATATCTCTAACATATCAGATACACCCCCATTGTAGGAAAAATGTGGGAACATAATTTTTGGGATAGTAAAGCAGCAATAGTGGTATGTCATGGGGTTGCTCACACAAGCTCTGGAGAGTTTTATGATCCTGTTGAATATTACTTCTACCAATGAAAAGGAAAGGTTTTGAATTACGGGACTACTGAAGACCTCTTTGGAAAAGAGTGAAGTAGCAGCAGAATGATTTGGACAATTCTGCAACAATCTATTCTATAGAAATTGAGAGATTACCTTGGTTTGTAAAATAAAAATTTCTATACTGGGTATATTCAATCTAGTATTCTTTGTGATAGAGACATTAATTAGTTTTTTAATATATTTTTATTGATTTCAGAGAGGAAGGGGGAGGGAGAGGGAGAGAGAGAGAGAGAGAGAGAGAGAGAGAAACATCAATGATGAGAGAGAATCATTGATCGGCTGCCTCCTGCATGCCCCCTCCTGGGGATCAAGCTGCAACCTATGCATGTGTCCTGACCTGGAATCAAACCTTGACCTCCTTGTTCATAGGTTGATGCTCAATCACAGAGCCACACCAGGTGGGCAGCGACCCTACTTCTTGAGGCCTATTGTTGACTATAATTATCAACCTAAAATTTTAGACATATATCATTTATTAGATTCTCTTTTTCAAAATTAAAAGTTTCTTCTTTACTTTGTTTAAATTCTATTTTTTGCAACCATGTATAATTTCAGTATGTGGAAGTCTTTAGATAATGAGTTCCAAAAGTCTACTACCTACTGGGTAAAATATTGCATCATTATATTTGTCTAAACATTACCATAGAGTATGTAAATTTTAGTTCCCAAAAGTACATGCTTAAAGGTGAATAATGAATATCTTAAATATTATTATACCTGAAAATAATTCATCTCATAGTTTCTAATTTCTCAAATCTTTTTCTAATTTAAAAACATGTAAGGGATAGATTTTATGGATTTAGATATTGAACCCTCTGTTTTACAAGTTAATAATTCAAGTAATATAGAAATATTTCTAACTACTTAAAAAAACTACATCTGAAAAACTTTATTTGTGATTTAAAGCTTTATCTATATCCATGGTTATAGTCAACTTCAAAGTACAAAGTTAACTTTATAAAACTAAAGCATTCTTTCTTAATCTGGCCACTTTTTTGTATCCAAATTAAATTAGACTTTCTGATTATGTGCTGTACCTGGTTATTTATTTATTTTAATCTGAATATATTATATAGAGGCAACTAACAATATTACTTATAATCAAACGTTAATCATCTCCCAACAGTGAAGTCCAAAATCAAAGTGCCTTATTATTGGGGGAAAAAAGAGAAATATAACCTTATATTTATTTAAATTTAATCTTTCAGGCTTTCTTTGTCAGTCAGATTAAAGTAAGTCTCTAGTGTTTCATACTGACCTTATCTAGGAAACCACATTTCTGACTTTTTCTTTTGCATATATTGACTGTGTGGATTGGTATTAAGTAAACATTTTAGGACTAAACATTTAAAAAAATTAAATAGCATTGTTACACTTTATTATTAAAATAAAAAATAGTTTCTTAACAACATAAGATTTTACAAACTTCATGATAAATTATTACCATTAGGGTATATTGGTTTCCAGTATTATTGTTTCCGTATTATTTCTACCTGCAGCTTTAAAATAAAAGGTCACACTTTTTAAAAAGAATCTACAGCCTTGGTATTACTTTAAACATCAAATGGCTCTTGCTTTTCTTCTTATAGAAAATTTTTGTAAGAATGTTATACAGGTGATGTTTTGCTCTATAAACGATTAACTAATAAACAACTGACCCCATTTTGTCTTCCATGGAGCAAAATCAGGTTCTGCTTGGATGCAGCAGTGGCTTATTGTAGCACCTCGGGAGTATTCTTAAGTGTCATCAGCAGTCTCCTCTAGCCATTAGCACATTATCTTGAGAATCTACATCATTAGTTTAAATTAGGTTCACTTAATTAGCCAGCTGGTACTCTCCTTGTCAGACTGATAAACAAGCTGTGCCACACTGTTCCTTCGTGTCAAGATTAAACCTTAAGTCTGTGCATCTTTCTCTGTTGCTATTCCCAGAATTTCACCCTGACAGTATAAGCCATCTTTCTAGAAGCTGATACAACTGCTCTGTAACCAGTATAGCATGCTTTTAAAATTTTTTGTATTTGTCATATCCCCTCAGGAAATATTGATGAATTTGTATACCTATAGGTATATTGGGATTTTTGAGGGAGTTAAGGTTTACAGGTCAAATCAACAAAGGAAAGAAAAACCCTGATAGTGTCAGTAAATTGCACCCTTAAACAATGTTTTAAAATAGTAAAGAAAAATATTTATATCAATATATTTATAAAACTGCAACAAATAAAAATATTACATTGTATAGCATATGTTGAACATATTTTTACAAAGCAATAAGATAATAAATTACTTCATTATAATATATCACTCTGAAAATGGTACTTACATGAATGATTAAGAAATACAGACTCTGGAACCTGAAACATGTAGATCACTACTATTAATTAATTATAACAAAATTAATTAAGTCATTTGAAAGATCTTTGTGAAAATCTTGAATAAATCAATAAATTTTTTGGATGATGGATTATGGCTTACTTATCTGAATATCACAAGGCCAACCATAGTCTACTATGTGTACAAAATTATAGTGTTTATGATATGGAAGAGAAATTTCCAACTTATGATATCAGAAACTTTTATTTTAAAAAAGTCTTACAGGATTACTCAATAGGTCAAAACTGATCTTCTTTGTTCTATTTTGGTGAGGATTAAAATCACCTGCTTCAGCCTAAACCAGTTTGGCTCAGTGGATAGAGCGTCGGCCCGCAGACTGAAAGGTCCCAGGTTCGATTCCGGTCAAGGGCATGTACCTGGGTTCTGTAAAAAATCAATAAAATATATTTAAAAAAAAAATCACCTGCTTCAAATAAGTCTTATCTTCTATAGGCTTCTCAAGGCAAAGTTTGAAAACAATTTTTCTGGCAAAATAATATTAATAAATAAATGCAAATTTATACTAAGTAATAAATGAGCATTCTATGAGGTTAATTTTGAGGTGAGAGATGAGCATATATAAAATGCTCATATTCATATTCTTGAACATTGTCTTTTAACTAATATCATTTTTGGTATAAATGGTTGGTGGATTGGAGACATCAGGGAAGAACAGTAGGTGAGGGTGTTTGAGGAAGAAGATTGGGGAGTGGCAGGTCAGGGAGTTATTATAAGGAATTTTAGGGTTTACTCTGAGGGACATGAGAACACTTTGTAGTGTTGTGAACAGATTAGTGTCATGATCTGTCTAATGCTTACCCCCCAAAATAAAATCACCCTGATAAATCTGTTGATAAAGTTGATGAGTATAAAGTTAGAAGGTAAAAGTCATGTGGTGAGGTTAGAGATGACAGAGGCTCTGTGCATGGTGGTAGCAGAGGAGGAGCCAGAAAGAAGTCAATATTTGGAAGGCAGGTGTAATCATGTTTCCTGAGGTTGTGAGATATGGGAGGGAGAGGGCAGTCAAATATAATAGCATATTTACAATCCTTTTCATAAAATGTGGAGAAATATTGTAACTATTTCATTACACAGAGATTTACAGGTTTAATTGTGGAAAGGAAATTATTTTAAAAAGTGTCAAAAATAGCACCTTTCTTTTTTTTTACTAGCGAATGGTTTAAATTTACTGATCATTTAGAGTAATTTCCAGAATATACTAGCAGACATTTTGTAAAATCCAACATATGTAATTTATTCCTTTCAAAAGTGGACGATGTAAGTAGGAAAATACCTGTTTGGTGTGTGTGTGTGTGTGTATGTGTGTGTTTTCCTGAAAATTATGTTATGACAAGATTAATCTGGAGAAGGTTGTTTGGGAATAATTTCATCATTGTTATATTATTTTGTTGATGAAAACCATATAAATGTCCCTTCTGTAAAATGTGTTATATCTGCACACTTGAAAATTTGTAAACTGATTTTTCCCAAGACTTAAACATTTTCCAATAAAATACGTTAGATGTACTTTCCTTCATTTTGAGCTGCATATCTAGTCAGAAGCTAGGCTTGTGGCTGGCGAGCACAGTGGCGGTGGCAGGAGCCTCTCCCACCTTCCACAGCAGTGCTAAGTGGGCCTAAGCTGGCAGGCGGACATCCCCCAAGGGGTCCTAGACTGCGAGAGGATACACTTCAGGCTGAAGGACCCCTCCTTCCCCCAGTGCATGGATGTTGTGCACTGGGCCTCTAGTAATTTTATAATATATAAGCTAGAATATGCCATGTAACCACCCCTAACCCTTGGAGAGGCTGGGAAACTTTGTATTTGTCGAAGGGCAATGAAATTAGTCATTGTCCCTAAATCTCTGGTGCTTATCTTCCCTGAGAGCATTGCTGCCCATCTAATACCAAAACAATACCATATTCTATTAGCAAGAAAGAAAGGGGTGAGGACATTGATACAGAGATACTTAAATAGGTCTTTTCAGAAGTCTAATAATTACTTCAGTAATCCAAAAACAGAGATGAAACACAGGGCAAGGTTTTAGAAAAAAAAATATTTTAGTAAGACTAAATTGCCAACATGCTAGTTAAAATGTGAATCTCCATATGTTCAACCACAGAGGTAGTTTACCTTCAACTAAACCCACTGAGAAAAGGATTAAGTTATGAACTAGGACTTAGGAAATTCTCTAAGGATATTCAACAGAGCTTTGGAAAGAAATACTTTCAATATTGAATAAAAGCTGTTTTATTGAATACAATTTGTTTTGTGTTATAAAATTTATCTATGCAACTACTACAGCAAATTACTTTGAAAAGGGCTTAGCTTGTAATATAAATAGCTTAAAATTAAAGTGAGTGAAATAACTGCCTGGAAGCAATTTATTTTCTGGAAGTTTTATTTTAAGTTAATGCTAAATATTATAAATATTAGCAGAAAAACACATTTACCATATCATGTATGGTACAAAAAATTGCTTCTCCTTGTTTCTGTGATTTTAGATCTCTCATTAAGGAAAATAAATTAGGGAATCTGTTACTGGAGTTACAACCACATCTCATATTATTAGTGTCTTAGCATTATAGATGGTCAACGTTGGGATGGAAAAAACCAAATAATATATAAACTTAGTTCTCACCTGTGTTCAACACCTGATTAAAATGCACATGTTAATCACTTATATCTTGAGTTTTTTAAATAGCTTCTCCATGACATACAATTTGCATAGGTAATGAGTGAACATAAGACTTTATAAAATGGCATAAAAACATGTTTGAGTAAAGTATCACATTTCCAAATTAATCAAGTAAGAGTTTAGAAAATTAGGTAATTAGCAACATACATTTTTAATTTGACATCTAAACTCTTGAATTCTTCTGTAATTTCTGGCCTAGTTTTTAACTAATGTTTCAGTGTGTAAACATTTTTTTTTCAACTCCTATTTATTACAGGCAGTAAGCACAGACCCTGTCCCAGTTAAATTACACTATGACAGATCCCACGATCAGGTCTGGGTGCTAAGCTGGGGTACCTTGGAAAAGACTTCTCCAACACTTCAGGTAAGTCCATTTGACTTACCTATATTTGATCAAATAATGACCGTTAAACCTTTAGCTATCTCATCAGGTATTTATAACCACTTAGCAATTATATTCTTCCACCTGAGGACCTTACTTTAATCACATCTAGATCTGCACAGAAAAAAGGTAAAGGAAAGTTGATTTCTCAGCATTTTTTTTATTGGAAAGTATTGTAGGACATATTTATCAAAGGTTGGATGTATATGCTACAAGCATAGCCTGTGATGACAAAAATGATACTGCTTGGAAAAAACAAGTTGAAATTTACCTTTCAACAGTCCTGCCTCCCTGCAAATTTCATAAGAATTTTTTTTTTTAATTTCAGTTTCTCTTTTCAAAACAGGGCCTATTGGGTGGGGTACATGAAACAGAGACCAGGAGAGGTAGACAAAGTCTCAAAGCAGATCTCCACTTTTCTCCAAACAGCTAGTATTTTGTTACATGAGCATGGACTCATTTCTAATTGGGAATTAATGTGGTGTCATTTTGTGGAACTTGCTTCTGTCTTGAAGTTGCTAATATGAGAATTTGACAGATGCAGAAAAAATATAGCACACATTTGACAATGATTCTTTGGCATCATCTTTAGATTTTTGGATTTTTAAGTTTAAATAGAAAAAGAGAGAGAAAAGGGGAAGGAATGTTTGGCCCTGAAACTGCAAATTTTCTATTTCTAAACCACCTTGTGATTAGAGCACCACCTTGTACATGCCTCTTCTTACAAAGTCTGAAGTCATTCATCTTTGGCCAGTTTTCAGTAAATCTGTTGAATGCAATGTCATTTTTAATTAATGGTCAGTACCAATACTGTTAATGTTTTTGAAGTATTTTCTGTATTACAATATTTAACTTACAAAGAGCAGATTTATTGAACTGAAATATTTTAATGCAACTATCAGAGTTAATGGTTTATTTTATATTTCACTAGGAATATGTGTCATGTGAAGCATCTGAAATATGATATAGTATTTCAGTTATCTATTGCTGCAAATCAAAGCACTTCAAAACTTGAGGTTTTCAACAAAATTCAAGGATGACCTACCACTCACAAATTCTGTGGCTTGGCAGTCTAGGTGTTTCTGTGGGCAAGCTCAGGGAGCTCAGGACTCACTGCAATGCTGAAATCATTTGTGAATAACAGCTGGAAGGTCCAAAACGGCCTCACTCCTACCTCTGCCTGTGGTGGTAGTACTTAGCTGGGTGTCTTGTGTCTCTTATATGTGCCTGCTCATCCATTTGGACTGACACCTTCACAGCATAGTGATTCCAGGTTACAAGATACTGGAAGTCGCCAGGCCAGTTAAAATCTGGGCTTCGGGATTTATTTAAGTAACTTCATTCAGCCTGTTGATGGAAGCAAGTTACACGGCCTGCCTAGATGCAAAGGGATGGAGTAATAGCCAGTCTCTTGATGGAAAGAGCACAATCTTCACTGAGGACCATTGTTTGGATGATCTGCCACAATATGCTCATAGGCTCTGATTATTTGAGAGTTTGTATTTAAATATAATCTTTACAAGATGAATAGAATAGGTATGATTTAAAGATAACTTTAGGCAAACATCTTTAATGACATACAGAAAACGGGGAAAAGTCTTTTTATAAGTGTTTAGTAACTTTCCACACATTATTCAGCCTTCTCAAAATAGATTCTCTTTCTCTGAATAAAAAAAAAAAGAGAGGGAATTATGCTAATAAGATTTAGTGAATTTTTAAAATGTTTTCTGGCACACTTGAAAATATGAAATAAAATTTAGGAGGTGAGAAATATTCTTAAAATAGTATATACAAGAAAATTTATTTACATAAAGTTTGTGTGTGTACACACATCTATATGTATTTAGATGGTGGGTGATAGATGATAGATAGATGATAGATAGATAGATAAAAGAAAGAAAGAAAGAAAGAAAGAAAGAAAGAAAGAAAGAAAGAAAGAAAGAAAGAAAGAGAGGAAGAAAGAAAATGCAGGGTCTGTAGATCAGAGAATGGACCATTTCTTACCCAGGGAGCATGTTAGCAGCTATTCTCCAGCCCCAACCCCCATCGGGTGATGTGGGGAAGACCAGTGTTACTCTGCAAGTGCAGCACAGTTGTACTACAGGAAAGGACTCTGAAGATATGTGTCTCTACATTTTTTTAGGCTGCTGCCCTCAGCCCATCCTCTGCTGTGAGAGACAGAGATTATTATTCAGAAATATATACAAATCTTGTCCTGGGAGAGAGGGGCAAGTCAGTACCCTGGGAAGTCAAGAATTGGCTCAAATGCCTTAAGTCTCTAAATATCTCAGGAGCAAAAACACCATCTCTAGCATCCCAGGCACTTTTGCTGACGTCATCCTTTAACAAATTTTGCCATGGCCCTTTGCTCAGAAAGACCTGACTCTGCAAAAATGTCGAATATTCATAGATAATTGTCTCCCAACAGAACAGGTTTATCAGGAAACATCCCCAAAGAAAATGGGTTCTAAGATTTGTTTGAAAATGGGGACACTTTTCCTTTGGAGAAATGGAATTCACCAGATCAAAAACATGAGCACGCTCTCACTTTTGCCAGAGTGTCTATGCCACATGCTGAAAGGTTAGGCTGGAAAGAGAGATTGATGCTAGGATGTAAAAGCTAGTAGGCAACTTGTTGGCCTTAATGCAGTGTATCTTTCAATGGTGCCCACTGACCCTTGAAGGAGCAAAACCATTTTATTAAGGACCAGAAAGCCCTGCTTACACCCCTTCTTCTTTGTTTGCCTTTTGGTTATTAGTAAATCTATAGATCTTTGCCCATTATGAAAGCAAAATATATTATTTCTGTGATATTTGCAATTATTAAATAAAAACCTATGTACTGTAATTTTAGGTATGTAAGACAATGATTTTTCCAATTAGTGTTCTTAAGTGAGTTCTCAAAGATTTATCAGAGTTATTTTTTTAAGACATCATGCCTGGTAAAAATTTAAGAAATGCTGTCCTAAAAATCATGAGTCTGTCATCTGCACAGTTTTCCAATTTCTATGTAATATCTTTTCAAATGCAAAACAATTGGAGAAGAAATCTCCAAGAAACAACTTGGAATAAAGTCCTTAGAGTTGCTATTGGTCAGAAAGTAGGCCATGGCCAGATGGGGTGACATTGGGAGGTGGAGGCTCTGGGTCTGTGGAAGGCATCACACGTAGAGAGACCAATGGCAGGATGCCATTAGGAATGAGCCAGGGTTGCTGAAAGATGGGGCATATTGATTAATGTGCATCAGATCAATCTGTGCATCCTCGCATTTAGTCGTCTCAGTCCCAAATTTGGCCATCCATCACGCCCTGCTCAATTCCAGCAGTGAGAAGGACCCAGAGCCATCAGGGAACAAAGTCCAGATAGCGGGGAGCTAGAGAAGTGGCCTTGTGTTTTTTACAGCCAGGACTATGCCAAGCACATAAGTGATGCTCAGTTAATATGCCTTCGGTGGCATGAAATATTTTTGCATCAGTAGTTTTGGGAAGGTTGGGATGCATTACCCATATTTTAGTATTGTATGAATATTAAATTCTTGATGCCTGGAAACTACTTAGAACACATATTGACATGCAGCAAGCTCTCAGTAAATATTATTATTGCTTCAGTCTAAGTATTATTAATTTCAAATACAAGTACATGCATTTTGAGTTATACACTATATAATCAAAAGAGAGAAAAATTGGGGAGATCTTCTCTGTTATTCTGTTCACCTTTATTAAAGTCTTGTAGACATTATTATGAATGGCTACAATCCCAGTGCCAACTTTCTCACTGATATTCATTAAAAAAAACAATAAAACACACAGATATAGCCTTGCTGGTGTTGCTCAGTGGTTGAGCGTTGACTTATGAACCAAGAAGTCACGATCCTATTCCCAGTGAGGGCACATGCCCTTGTGGGCTAAACCCCCTATTTGGGGCATACAGGAGGCAGTCGATCAATAATTCTCTCTCATCATTGATGTTTCTGTCTCTTTCTACCTCTCCTTTCCTTTCTGAAATCAATAATAAAAAATATATTAAAAAACAAATAACAAAACAGGTATAGTGTCTTTAAGGTTGTTATCAACACTTTGGCTCTCTCTCCTTCGGGCACATGCTGAACTCCTTTTGGTTAAGTGGAGACATATGACTGACTGGTCCTGGCAAATGAGAGCCACTGTGGATGGAAACGTTTGAGGTAGTCAGCTGCTCCTTCAGTGTGGAACACTGAGAGAAAACAGTAGATATCCTGCCAGATTCCTCAGGAAACATAAGATGTGTGGAACAAAATCTTTATTCTCTAAGCCACTAAGACTTAAAGGTCTGTTTCCTGTTATGTTGTTTTTTTAACTGTAACATAATTGAGCCATCCTAACTTATAATAATTTATACATTTTTACTGAAAATGGCAGTTTTCAGTGGAACACAATGAATATATACTTACTTGAAAGAAAATTAACCTTTTGGAATAAAAGGCCCCTAAAAATAAAAATGCTATTTACTCCTGTCATAAAAACTAAAGGAAAAGACTCAGTTTGGAAGGAGATAGTCGGTCAATACTTTAGGAAGCTTAATTTGGGGACCATATGAAAAAGGGGGGAGGCAGGAAGATACTTTAAAAAGCTAACAGAACAGTAGTAGTGCAGCAGAGACAATAAAAAACAACAACAACAAAACATGTGGAGGTATGAGAAACTGGAAAAAAAAAACCTAATAGAATTTGATGAATAATAGAATATTCTATATAATAAAAGCCTAATATGCTAAGTGTCTGGTCGTCCAGTCAGCTGTTCAACTAATCAAAGTGTAATATGCTAATGAGATTAAGGCCGCTCGCTATGACATGCACTGATCACCAGGGGGCAGACAGTCAACGGTCGACCAGTCACTATGATGTACACTGACTACCAGGGGGCAGATATTCCAACCAGTAGATTAGCTGCTGCTGGGGTCTGGCTGATCGGGACGAGCGAGGTGGGCTGGACACACCCTGGAGCCCTCCCGCAATCCCTCCCTGGCTGGCCAACCTCCCGTGTCCCTCCCTGACCCCGGCTGTGCACCAGTGGAATCCCTCGGCCTGCCCTGCACCCTCTCACAATCTGGAACCCCTCGGGGGATGTTGGAGAGCCGGTTTCCATCCAATCTCGCTCAACGCAGAAACTTGGCTCATGCCTGGTGAGCACAGCGGTGGTGGCGGGAACCTCTCCTGCCTCCTTGGCAACACTAAGGATGTCCGACTTCTGGCTTAGGCCTGCTCCCCAGGAGTAATGGGCCTAAGCCATCAGTTGGACATCCCCTGAGGGCTCCTGGACTGTGAGAGGGTGCAGGGTGGGCTGAGGGCCTCCCCCCACGCGAGTGCACGAATGTCATGCACTGGGCCTCTAATGAGTAATAAACTTTAAATGTAGTTAATGAATAGTTGGAAAGAAGAAAGCTCTGATTAAAACTTACTTAAATCTGTTATTTTAAATTTATATATAAGAGGAAACAGTTTTAAAATAAGATTTTATCTGTTCTGGGATTTCTAAGATCTAAAATATTTGATATGATTTATTTTGGAGTTTTCAGTGCCATGCTTCCCCCTCTGTTCCATGGGAGGGCCAGTTTTTTGTTCATCAGTTAGAGCTCAACAAAGTTATTTTTTTAAAAAAAGGAAGAAAGCTAACACTTATTTACATATGTATGCTTGCTTTTATTATTCTCATTATAGCAAAGTTAATTTTTTATAATACAGTCATTGTTTAATACATTCATCTTATATTTTAAGCAGGAACTGTTCAAGACAAATAATTGTCTTTTTTTTCCTTTGTAAAAACTGAAGTTTCTACTTTGAAAATAAGCAATTACAGAATTCCAATTTGCTTAATAATAAAGAGTGTGGCAATAAAGAGTCTGTGCCAGAGATTCTTTTCTTGTCTAAATACACAGAAAGCTGATGCTATTAAGGGAATGCATTGCCAAGATCTAAGCAAGGTGTGTTCTGTGTAGGTAATAACCCTGGCCAGTGGGAATGTGCCTCACCACACCATCCACACCCAGCCCGTGGGAAAGCAGTTTGACCGAGTGGACGACTTTTTCATTCCCACTACCACACTCCTCATCACCCACATGAGGTAAGTGCTAAAATGAATGATCAGTTTTAGATTTCTCTCTAATCTTGACAGAAAGCCACAAGAAACCCTAACACATTTCAGTTACACAAACGAGACACAAAAAAGTGCACATGATTTAGTTTTGTCTCATGTGCTTGATGAATTTTTATTTATCAACATTAGTGATGAATTTTCTGCCATATATTTCTTCCTAAGCCCAATACAGAAATGAATTTATAAAGACAGAGTTGCTTTTTTTTATTATTATTGATTTCAGAGAGGAAGGGAGAGTGAGAGAAAGACAGAAACATCAATGATGAGAGAGAATCACTGATCGGCTGCCTCCTGCACACCCCACACTGGGGATTCAGCCCGCAACTCGGGCATGTGCCCTGACCAGGAGTCAAACCATGACCTCCTGGTTCATAGGTCTATGCTCAACCACTGAGCCATGCATTTTTAGTTAATATTTTTGCCAATACTAATAAGTAGGGTCTTATTAGGCTTTTGCAAAAAACTGACATTTGAGTTGAAATGAAATGTTTGAGGTCTTCTGCATTTTGAGAAAACATGGTGTTGGCATGTTCTATCTCTGTATTTAACAAGAGGTGAGAAGGTAGAAATTTCTAATGAATCACACCAAAGTTTCATGGAAATCAGTTAAATGCTTAAAAGGGGGGTACTTTGGATAAGTCTCAATTTCTAGGATTATGTATCTTCACAATTTATTGAAAAATTTTAAAAGTATTGCTTAACAATATTATTGAATCTGAACCCAAGTAATCTTTTGACCTGCTTCTCAAGTGAATTCTCACGAGGGGGAACTGCTCCCGCTATGTTCTGTGAGCCAGTGTTTGAATGCAGTGTATATGTGCTTCCCTTATATTCAATTGAAAATGATCTCATCTAAAAGTTCAAGTTGTAAGACTTCTGAAAGAATGAAAAATTCAAGTTGCAAAATTAAAAGGTGAATTAATAAAGCAAAATTGTGGCTCACAGTCAAGACATTATATATAAACTGGTTTTGGTGCAGCGAAGTATGTAAGAGTTTAAGTATATTTCTCAAGCAGTTGACCATTATTTTCAGATTGCCTAGTATATGCTTAGCAATAAAGTGATTAAAAACGTAAGTACTATCACAATTATTACATGCTTATATGGAAAATAAGTAGAACTAAAAAGTATATTATTTGCATTAAGTAAGAATAATTTGTAAGGTCTGGCTGCAAACACTATAATAATTCAGAAACTAAAGAAATCAGCATATGAACTGAAAATGGTACCACTTGAGATGTTACCTAAAAATATATATGTTTTTATTCCTACTACCACATAGTGTATCAATAATTTAATATGTAACACTTGCTTTTATTTACCCCATTATCCTATTTCCCATTACTCTGTTTAATATACTATTATCAGCTTTGGGTTTTTTAAAAATGCATTGTTAATATACTTATTTAGGGCAAAAGCCCCATGGTTATGAAACAAATAGGGTCAAGAATGTATAGTTTTAGGTATTTCTTTTACCGTACAATAAGTAACTCGTGTCATTATGATAAAACAAAAACCAAAAAACTTCCAAGGTAGGAGTTTAACTTTGTCTGGATGCAGTAAGTGTTATGTGCAATTCTGTGTTTGTATGTATAGTTGATTTATTTTCAGAACACGACATCTGTTTAGGGTCAACATGATTATGACCTTCTGGGATTTGGAGCTAATAATAATTAGAAGAACATCCATATAATGTGAATACATATAAGGCAAAATTGCATTTTAGTTATTTCTATATATTATGAGAAACACCCAAAAGTATGCCTGAGTGTATTTGTAAATGTCTTTTTCCCCCCTTTTAGGGATGTATAGTGAAATGTGTGAGTGTTTTCCAATGCTTGTAAGAATACTAAATTAAATTATAGCAATCCTACCTGCATATAGATCCCATTTTAATGAAAGTGAATGATCAAAATTCCTATTGCACTTCAAAGTAATTACTCCTGTTACTAAAGTGAAGAGTAAGTGTAAAAAGTAGCATTCCTTTACAGAAATAAACTATTAAATATGTAAAGTATTTTTAACATAATGAGGATTTGTTCCACCTTAGGAAAACCTGAGGGATAGATATGATATAGTCCTTTCTCCTACCAATTTCACGTACCATCCATGTTTTTCTAACGAAATTTCACATGTGTTTGTATGTTTGTTACTGAAATTTACCTTGTTATGAATTGTGTTTTTCAGCATTTGAGATGATTTTCTCACTGTTATACCTTTCATATATTTCCAGGTCAATCAGAAGGTCTGACTCAGAATATGTTTTTAATTAATGCTACTTTTCTTCCTCTGACCTCTCTGCACATCAATCTGTGTTTTTTTTTTCCCTCAGATGGCTACACCCTCATTTCAAATAATTTATATCTCCTGTGTCTGAAAAGCTCCTGGACAAGTGTCAGGATTTTATATCCTTAGTGCCTAAAAACCTGTAGGCACTTAATTCATGTTTCTCATAGGAATGGAGATAAAGAAGGAAGAAAGTGCTGTACTGTTTCCTAAACCAGAATATATAGTATCGAGGGAAGAGCTATATATCTTATACTCCTGACTACATTTCTCAGTGTGTAACACAATATCCAGCATGCAGCGAGCTCCGCCTCAGGAGCACATGCATTGTGTGGGGCAGCGAAGAGCAGGAATAAGAACTTACGTCTTCTGGCAGGCAGATCTGAGCCTGCATGTCCAGCAACACCATTTGCCATGGGCTCTTGTGGCATTTGCCAGCTTACTTCCATTTTTTCCAAGGGTTGGCATAAAACACGTTTGAATATTAAGTTGCCTATAATAGTTTGTCCGGACTACTCATAATCTACACTGGTGCAGGGACTCCCCTGAGATTAGTTACAATTTTGCTAAAAGTCTCTATTTTCCCCTGTTTGGTTTCTTATCGTTATTTTTTCCTCCGTTTTTTCATTTATTGGTGTCTATAATTCTCAAACTTCTTTAATCCAGTCTGTCAAATATATCAAGACTTGAGGAATTTAAGAGAACCAAAATGTCTTTATAAACCTATATTAAAAGATAAACTGGTAGTTAAAAAAAACACTAATCAGTCTTCACAAGACAGTTTGAAATTCTCAGCACTTTAAAAACCCTTGAGAACCTAATTTAGGTCCCTTTTGAATGGCCTGAGGAATTGGAATTTCAGGAAACTAATATTACAATTTAAGAAATATTTGATAAGGGCCTGGTGCCATCCACTCATTCAGCTCCTCACCTTAATTCAATCCCATTCCCTGAGTGCCACAGTTTACGCCACATGTAATTATTCCTATTTCATACTCTAGAGCAGTGGTTCTCAACCTGTGGGTCGCGACCCCTTTGGGGGTCGAACGACCCTTTCAGAGGGGTTGCCTAAGACCATCGGAAAACACAATATATAATTACATATTGTTTTTGTGATTAATCACTATGCTTTAATGATGTTCAATTTGTAACGATGAAATTGGGGTTCACCACAACATGAGGAACTGTATTAAAGGGTCGGGGCATTAGGAAGGTTGAGAACCACTTCTCTAGAGTAAGAGCTTATTAGTGAAAATACCCCATTTTTGTTTTATTTGTACCTTCCTTCTCCATAGAAATTAAAAGACTACCTGAGCCCTAGGCTGGGGATTAATCAGACACACCAATGCTACACTGTGTTTGATCTAAATCAAAATGGTCTTTAGCACTGTAGTGTTCTGGTTACTGGACCAAAAGTCTGTCCCTGAGTTCTTAGTTCTTAAATATGAACGTTTGTCCAGGCGATAATGCAGAAAAACTCCAGAGCAGCATGCAACCATTTGTGAGCCCCACTTGTGAATATGATTAACTAAACTCCCTGGCAGGTGAGAGAGGTTGCATTATTAGCCTGTCTCCCCAGTAGTTCCAGCTACTTGCTGAGCTTCTGAAAGGGACAGAATAAATGCTTATTGACCAAGTTTATTTTTAAAGGTTATTAAAACTCTATAGTAGATTTTTTTTTTTTTTGCTTTTTCTTGAATGTATTGGGGTGACACTGGTTAACAAAGTTATGCAGGTTTTAGCTGCACAATTCTACAGCACATAATCTGTACACTGTGTTGTGTGTTTACCATCCAAAGTCAGGCTCTAGCCATCATCATTTATCCCCCCTACACCCACCCACCAACCCCCTCCACTGTGTAGGAGTTGGTTAATTCCTCCCTCCACAATTATTTAGGGAAAATTTAAATTACTTAAAATTTAGTTAATAACAATTTTCTGATGATTATTGAAAATATACCTATTTGCCGAAACCGGTTTGGCTCAGTGGATAGAGCGTCGGCCTGTGGACTGAAAGGTCCCAGGTTCGATTCTGGTCAAGGGCATGTACCTGGGTTGCAGGCACATCCCCAGTAGGAGATGTGCAGGAGGCAGCTGATCAATGTTTCTCTCTCATCGATGTTTCTATCTCTCTATCTCTCTCCCTTCCTCTCTGAAAAAATCAATAAAATATATTAAAAAAATAAAGAAAAAAAAAGAAAATATACCTATTTAAGTTACTATAAGTATATGTTTTAAGAATATTTTATATATTATGTTTTGTTAATTTTCACAGAAATGATTCCATTGAATATTTAATAAATAATGTATTTTTTACATTAGTAATTCATTGCAAAATTCAGTTAACTGGCAATGTATATTAACTAGATATTCATTTTTCAGATTTGCATTAATAGGGAATTTTCTTTAAAAACCTTAAACTTCAATAAGTAATTCATAAATCACGAATCATAATTCTAAAGTTAAGGAGGTTATCCAGTGCAAAAGAAGTGTGTTTTGCAGTGATATGAGAAATATTTATTTCATATATGAAGAATTTCAATTTGGAATTTTTTCTATATAAAAATATATAGATAGATAATACTAAAGATAAACTGTTAAAATGAATATACATATCTAATTTTCAGAAGAACCAATTATGTCTACTGAATATTATAAAAATTAATATAATTCATTATTTT